TGATAAGAAGTCCAGAAACTTTGTTTTTAATCTCACATTTGCTTCGTGAAATTTACACTCTAAACCGAACTAAACCCAATCGAATAACAAACAACTAATATCCAAAAGGACAGAAACACTTCTTGAAGTTTTTAAGACAAGCGAATGATAAATGAACGATTGTACAGTAGCAACATTCTCGAAATAGCAATTAATGACCGCCCCTATCAAAGAAGCATAGTACAAACGCAAAGCGTGCGGGAAACGATTTTTACAAAACGATTGCATCGATTTCAGATCGATCTTGTGCATTACCATAAAACAAGAGAGCGGACAACAAATGTATTCGATCGATTAGACAATAATCAGAACGTGTAGCAATATAGTGAAACCCGCTGATAACGACTGCGGCTGTTAAATGTCGCTGAGGCAAGAAACAAACGTTGCCATTGTCGTTGCCTCCAGCAAAACGATCGAAGAGCTGCCTACCTTATGAAGACGATACTGTTGCTCGTAATGATTCACCAACTGCTGAGACCTGTTCAATCAGTGAACGGTGTAATATGGGACAAAAGGCTAGAGGACTTTGTGCCGATTTTCAGTATTCCAGCCTTCGCAGCTGTGAACGACGAATTACTGAGGCAAAGTCGAGGAGAGGAACTGCACAACTTTATGGGGAAGACTGTCACATTCGCTTATTTCGAGGTATAAAAGCTATGTTACCCTAAATTCTAAAGAGATACTCTCGCGGTGTTTAGCCAATTTTCGAGCTTCAGAGTACTTGAACAACACCTGAGAGGTAATATTCAAATGATGAATTCACTACTAAGATCCCTATTTGCTTTGATAGTTGCGCTTCCAACTATCCAAGTAGCCGCGAAATCAATGTTCGATTCTATTTAAAGTATTTCCAGTCCGAACTTTCCGAGATATTTACAGAAATCTAATCGATCGATTTTCGTTTACTCGAGCCTATCGTTTTATACTTTATAATATTTTCTTAGGAGATAAACCTTATCGTTGGCAAAAGTAATGGAACAGAGATCACCGGGATTATAGGCGAGATCTGGACTATATTGTCCGAATATTTAAATTTTACGTAATATTCTCTCTCTCTCTCTCTCT